AGCTTGTCGCAAACTGGGCAGCTTTTCATTCTGAATCCAGCAGTTCCAAGTATGTGCCTGATAATTCTGTCAGCAAACCACAATGCGATGTTGGGGCTAGTGTGTCTCCTTACTAGCAACTTTCCATCTTTTTGTCAAAAGCATTAGAGAGTCTAGAATGAGTTGCAGGGCTTCACTCATGTCATTGCCCGCCTCCTCTCGAACGAACCATTGACACTCCGTGGCGGCGTGGTACAGGCACTGCAGGATAAGAGGACTTGTTGTTGAGAGGCCATATTCACCCTCTTGGAGCACCTTCCGAGCGATGACTGGCACTCGTTCGGCTCCTATGCTCTTTATTCCAGCCAAAGAAAATGCTTGCATTTCCGACTCCTGTGGGACTCGTTCCTCGGAAACCGTCTCATTACAGGCGTACATGTTGTAGAGCGACAGCCGTGCCAAACAACAAAGGGCCAGATCGATGAAGTCGCCAGTATCTTGAGCGGCGGCATCGGCAATCCCAGTGTCTTGAAGAAGCCGAGTGTCAAGTGTCAAAAGAGTCGTATGTAATTGTATGGCCTCTTCGAGCTGCGCGCAGCGATTCCGATGTGCCTCGTCGCGATGTTTGATGACGTGACCAAGCATGTGTGCTGACTGGCACGCCCTTGCAAATGGGCCAATTCTAGCAACCGTAGAGAATTGCGACGTATAGACCGGCTCATTGGGGCCGATCTCACCTTCATTCCACCTTGTATCATCTAGAGGAAGCAGATCCTGCCGGCTTGGCTCTGGAGTCGACAGTGGGAGGCCCTTGGGGCCAATACTAACGTATCTATACTCACGGATCAGCATGATCTCAATCCACCCACACCACACCGGTGGTCATTATTAGTGTTTAAAAAAAAGAAGAAAAAAGAGGTTACCCAAACGGGTAGAAAAGGAACAATGGGGTTGTGTTCACACACTCACCTATCCAGAACAATAACGGCCCACCACACGCGACGACCCTCTTCGAACACAGTCCATGAATTCGCCGACTTGTACATTTGGGTAGTTCTCTGGGGGTCTCGACAATGTAGTCCCATCATGATGCCAAGTCTTGCTGCCCGCCCAACAGAAAGATATGCTGCCGAGAGCAAACCTTGGCCTATCTCATACAGAGCCATCAAGATTGTGCATTGCAACACCGTGAGAGCCATTGTAGCGTCATCTTCCAACTTCGCCAGAAGCTGTTTCGCTAGGCAGTACGTGGGACTGTCGGCGGGGTTGTCGAGATCAGTGGCCTCGCATACAAGCTTCATGCAAAGAACGAGGATAGCCAGACCGATGTCTCTGGTCCCTTCCAATCTCTGGTGTGTCCGTTTCGGGCTGATGAAGGAGAACCACCGGTGAATAGTAGCAAAATATTCATGGCATATGGGAAGATAGTCCTCTCCAATCAGGGATGTAACCTCGAAAGGAGGCTGCAGCGATAGAGGTGGTGCTTGCGAGATAGGAATGAGAAACTCGGGGTCTATGAAGAAGGCAGAAGGAAATCGAGAGACAGAGGCTGGCGGGATCACAGCAGGAACTGTTGGTGTGTCTACGGAGGTGCCGCGCTGAGATTCTGGGATGCGCTCTTTGAGCTGTCGGATCATCGCTATGAGCGCTTCACGGTCGAGTTCATCGGGATCGGACTGCGCCGGGCTCAAGGTGTATTGGCAGGCCTTGCCTAAGCGAGTGCACTAGCAACCAGATCAGATACCAGGAAAAGCCATGAGCTAGGTGCTGTGTATAGGAACTGCGTACTAACGAACAGGCGGGGAGCTCTTTGGTGCATCTACGCTTCAGCCGCCTTCCGGATCGATTAGCTCAGCTACCCCAGACTGGCAGCGCGTCATCAGACAGGGGCTCGTACCGACAGGCCCCACAGGCCTGGGAGGCTCGCCGGGGGGTGGGCATCCTATGGCAGCGTTGGGTTCGCCGCGACGTTCTAGTCGGAACGCTTGTTATGCCCGTATCGCGCGGGATTTAGGCAAGGCGCCGAAGGGAGGCGAGATGACGAAAGAAAGCCCGATCGCTAAGTCCGTCCTACCGGATTCCAAAGTGGAGACACGGCAGGTTCTTGATCGGCGTTTAGGAGACGATGTGGGGGGCCAGCCAATCGCCGTAGCGGGAGCGGCCGCTCCCAGCCCACGTCCGCTCCTATCCGCTCCTGTCCGCTCCTGTCCGCTCTGTCCGCTCTTGCTCGGGCGGTATCCACAATCTCTAAATGCCATCACTCGTCACATTCTCGAGTAGAGAGGACGCAAAACAAGTTAGATGCTACTACAGGCCCTTAAACTGTGCTGTTTCTCGAGCGTTCTGCGTGTATAAATATGGCCATAGTCGCTCCTCTGATAATGTCTCAATTCTCGTTCTCATCCTCATCTAGCATTTCACAACTCAATACTACAAGTTCCCTTCATCCAAACCACCACTCAAAAAATGGCAAAGCTTGTTTGGCTCGTGACCGGTTGCTCATCCGGGTTCGGCGAGATCCTGGTCCAGCATATCCTAGCCCGTGGAGACTACGCCATAGCAACCGCACGGCGGCTCGAGTCCATCAAGCATCTCGAAGAAGCTGGCGCCAAGATACTGCAGCTCGATGTCACCGCAGACCAGTCGGCTCTTGATGGCGTGGCTACGGAAGCGATCTCCCTATATGGGAAAATCGACGTCCTTGTGAACAACGCGGGATACGTGTTGGCCGGAGCCTGGGAAGACATCCAGTAGGTCCAAGACGCTCTGCGTAGCCTGGGAGGAATCGCTAACTCGAAATCAGATACGAGCAATTGGTTGCGCAGTTTGAAACCAATGTCTTCGGTGTTTTCAAGGCCACCCGTGCCTTTCTACCCCACTTTCGGCAGAAGCGGGCTGGAACCATTGTCTACATCAGTTCGTTGGCCGGCTGGCACGCAGACGGCTTCACTGGCCCTTACTGTGCATCCAAGTTCGCCCTTGAAGGTAATTCCGTGTCTATTTCACAATAAGTTACTCTAGCTGACCGCTTTCTTAGGGTTTGTTGAGTCTCTTAGGGACGAAACCGAGAGCCTCGGCATCAAGAACCTCTTGGTTGAGCCCGGCCGTTTCCGCACCCATCTTCTATCTCCCGGCAACCTCAAAGTGGGAATATCCAAGATACCGGACTATGTCAAAGGCTCACAAGCCCATGCCGATGCTCTAGCTGCAAGCGATCGAGCCCAGGCAGGAGATCCCAGCAAGGGGGTGGAAGTCATTATCGATCTCGTGCGCGGAGAAGGCTGTGCGGCGAACAAGACAGTGCCCTTTCGAATCCCTCTAGGTACCGACTCCTATGATACCATCAAAGATAAATGCGATGAATCGCTCAAGTTGCTGGAGGAATGGAAGCCAACCATTGTAAGCACGGATTATTAGCTCAATATCAGGCGGCCATCGATATAATAGAGTTTTGCAATTTGTGTACTGTACTAGCCATCAAATCGTGTCTTAATTGCCATTAGAGACCACCAAAAACTTTGGGAGGCTTTCTTTTCACTATTCGACAATTTTAAAGGGCTAAGCCCTTGGTCGAACTCCCCTGCCATCTCCTTACCTGGGTTGCAACCGTGGTTAGATACAAGTATACACATTAGCAAGGAACTTCAGCAAACTTAAAGGCTTAAGACATCCAATCTTACATACAACTAAGAAAGAACGCTCGTTCTACTTTTATCGCCATTGACTTGAGGGATGGCATCCAGAAGACAGCTTTATCGGCGTCACTAAAATTGGAGTCGCCGTTCTTACCCCCTCAAGTACGAACCACGTCTTTCCCAAAACTGTCGACCTCCAGACATTTTTCGCCCAAAACACGATCGAGGGCCATTCGATACGACTTAAGGGACGCCACCGCAGTGAGACCCGCCGAGAATCATATCAATTTGGCCAGGAACAGCAGATTCAAGTCGGTCAGGAGGAAACCGTACTAGTGGGTTTGTTAGAATCGGTCCAGCCGCAGTTCGATAATCACGTCGTCTTAATTTGATTTGACCTGAGCCACGAATTTCCTATCAATGCATTTCACCTCCCTCGTATCACGAAGTATTTCTCATATTGGGTGGATTTACAAGAATCGTCTCTAACGTATCCGGGATAAAGTCTCCAAGCTTAAGAGATCGCTTTTAGCCCTTAGGTTTCCTTCCGACGGGTTAACTGTTTGTTCAAGGAAACTTCAGTATAGCTCTGTGAATGATGCAGTGCGCGAGTTGGCTGTCTTCGTGGGGCTGCTACAGCAAGGCAAAGAGAAGATGCTTCAGCCGAAGCAAAGGCAACCCATACGGCGGTTTGAGCATAACAGCCCACCAAGCCCGAAAGAACTTTACCCTTTCACAGCGAGAATTCGTATCGAAGGCAAGAATTTAGCATCTCTTGTCCCGGATTTGCAGCAATTGTTGAGATTATTTTCTTCTTTCCGACCTACTGTAATATGAGTCACGAAGTCTGTTCACTATGGCGGGGTATGTTTATCAACTGCTAAAGAGCTGGCTCGTTTTATCGAGCTGATCTACTGGCAAGAGTTAAAGGGGGGAATATGGAAGGCTGTCACTGATTATGATACTTTATTCGCACCAAAAACTTTAGAACCATAGTAAAGATCAGACGCCAAGCGAGCAGAGCAGGAAGCTCAAAAGGTTCAAAAAACAATCGGAACGGCGCTTAAGGCGGAACACACTGTCTGATTTAGACCAAGACAACAAGACATTTGGAATAGAGTTTCTCACTCTGTAAGGGGTTGCCAATTCACTGATTAAGACCAGTTGCCGAAGCGCCTCAGGTGGGAAGACAATTTTCCGAAGTCCCGCCTGAGACCACCCCCCTGTAGCTTCCCAGTGTGAAGGCTCTTTCCACATTCTTCGTCTCGACACTAGATAAGAAGCACCTTCCTTGATACACATGGATCTATCTCTTTCTCTCATAACTGATCATCTTACTTGCCTGTCTTGATTGCTTCACCAAGCAGTTATTCATCAACAATTTAAGGCAGGATAGCCGAGTGGTTTGGACGCCAGATTCGGGCCTTGGTGAACCGGCTCACGTGGGTTCGAACCTACTTCTGCCGCCTAAGAGGTGAACAGCGGTGGTGAAATATATTTACACGGAATGGGCCCTCTTCCACTTATCGCTAGGCGATACATTGTGTCAATGGCCCTGTTTAGAGACCGCAAGGGAAGATGTAAGCATTGATTCCACGCTACGGCTCCTAGACTAGAAGGCTTGTGTATGGGTGTGGGTGTGGTTCTGTGAGTTACTATGATCTTAGTCACCGCCAAAATTGTACGTTATAAGTTTTCTCATTCAGTCTGGCAGCGGATTAAATACGGTGGGGTTGACCGGCTATATCGGGGCTACAGGGCCGCTATACGGAACCCTTGTTCATATAGCGGGAAATCTCACAACTACGTTTATTTTCCTCTCTTTTGATATCTAACGCGTTTCTAACCAGACATGGGCCGTCCCTATGTCAAATTGCCAACTTGCAATGGCAGAATCCGACGGCTCGCAATTTTGGGATGCAGCTTGCAGTTTCCAAGTTGCCGCATTCCGAACGTGGCGATTGTGAGGCATTACGTACGTGCCTAGTAAGCATGCGTATCGCATCAGCAACCAGGAGATCGCCCCCCTGCCTCCGAAAGCAACCCCGGAGGGTTGCACTGATCGGGCGTTGGCCTGGTCTGTTTTCTCCTGACATGACTCGTGGTATCCCTGAAGGTCTCCAAATCCTCAACACCAATCTGCACCTCCCCTACCTCGCTCGTTCTGATTCGTCTAAAACTGCCGTGCATCCGGCCCTCAGTCGGTCGGCTGAAAAAACTTGGCGACACATCGGTTAACGCACCGAGCCCTGAAGAGGGAGTGTCGCCGAGGTTGCCTCCCCCGGCCCACGATCTGGACCACGTCCCGGGGCTATGGGCGGCACATTTCCACGCATTGGACTTTGCGCGAGGTGCCAACGCGACCCTCCCCCTCATTTTCAGAAAGTCCAAACGCGCAGGATCAACAGGGGAGAGCATGGCAGTTTGTGTGCGGAGTGAACATCCACTGCAGGGCCGAAACTACCGTATAGGGCAGATCGACATGTGCCCAAGACACGGCGGGTACTCGTTCCTGGAAAGCAGCCTTTCACACGGATTCGGGCCGCTAGATTGGTTTGCAGATCGAGGACTGTGCGCTAGCAGGTGCTCCATAGAGCTGAGTCTGGGCAAGGTCCAAGGTGAAACGGTCCAACTTTGGCCTTTGGACCCAGGCGAAGGGGTTTCCCTCTTTCTACTCCCCAAATAGTTATCCATGTCGTACAAGACTCGGCCAGCTTCCGGGCCCGTTTTGGCTCTCGCCGTCACCTTCGCATCTGCCCTCCGTTGGCAGATACTCGCCGTCGATACTGCGACACTCGTCACTTGAGCGCAGCAAACACGATGGCTGAGATCGAGAATCGGGGTCCACGGCTTGTAGCTGTGGCGTCAACACTGCTTTCCTTTGCAATCACAGCCACGCTGCTGAGATGCTACGTCCGGATCGGAATCGTCAGAGCATTTGGCCTGGATGACTACCTCATGGTCTTTGCCTTGGTATGCGACGACTCGCCTCCCACCGTCGCCTCTAGCTGATCCCCTTTGTATTCTAACTGGTCTCGTGTCACCACAGATTTCGTTCATACTGTTCTGTACCAGCGCCATCGTAGGCGTCTATTATGGAACCGGCCGCCATTACTGGGACCTTGAGGAGCACGATCAGCAGGAGGCTTTGATGGTATGTACAGAACGAGTCGTCTTTCATGCTCGGTTTTAAGCATGATAATCCAAGGCTGCGAGCTGACAAGAACCGCATTAGTATTGGTACCTATGCTACATATGGTACTGCCTGACGATGATAGCGTCCAAGATCTCTATCGGATACTTTCTCCTGCGCATCACGATCCAGAGGATGCACAAGTGGATCATCTATCTTGTTATGTTCCTCACCGTCGTCACCGGCCTGGTGTTTTTCTTCGTCACCATGCTGCAATGCATTCCCGTCTCGTACTTTTGGGACAAAGTCAGCCAATCCGGCCAGTGCATCAATATCGAGGTCATCATCGCACTCACCTATCTCTACAGTGCTTTCAGCGTCATCTGCGATTTCACCTTTGCATTCTTGCCGATTGTTCTGATCATGCAGCTCCAGATGAACCGGAGGACCAAGGTTGCCTTGATCCCCATCATGCTGATGGCATGCGTGGCGAGTGCCGCCGTTGTGGTCCGCTTTATATATGTCAAGGACTTCAAAAACCCGGACTTTTTATGTATGTTACCCCGGGGGGCGGCCACCTCCGACTTTCTCCACGCTGAAGACAAGGCTGACTTGACTCGCTATAGACGCTACAGTCGACATTGCTATATGGTCCACTACAGAGCAAGGCCTGGCAATCACGGCTGGGAGTCTTGCTACGCTCCGGCCACTCTTCCGCAAGCTTGCGACGAAGCTTGGCTGGTCGGCAGGGCGTTCGGGGGTGGGACCTACGGGAGAGGACACCCCGAGCGGCTCTCTTGGCAAGCACGACCTCAGCGGCCGACACAAGAGGAGGATTCGAGGACCCTTCAGCCTTGCGACATTCACGCGCCACGAGGACGAATACGAGGAGACGAGTGGCCGCAACGAGGGGCAGCTGAAGCTGGGCGATGGATACCCCGGAAATTTCGAGAACAAGGTCACCACTAGCAATCGCCAGTCGTTGTGGACTTCAAAACGACCGGCGACGGACAACGAGAGTGAGGAGGAGCTACGTATTGAAGGGAGCAAGAACGACATGAAGGCAGTGAAGATCAAAAGTTTCCTGATTACGGAGGAACATGCATGAGGAGGATGCTGTACGATCAAAATTTTGGCGAGAGGACAAGGCCAAGTCCCTTTTTACCAACTTAGGTAGTGGCTGCCGGCATACCCCAGCAAGTTATGTTTACCCACGGTGGCCTCGGTTGATTCCCCAAATTCGCCCATCGCGTGGGAAAACGTACGATAGCGTAATCGCTCGTCCTATGGCGAACTAATGTCATGTGTTATAACTTATAACTCGCTTGAATGACCTGCAGCCATCCATCGGAGTGGCACGAAAACAATCGACTCGTCCTCCTTACCCCTGCGCGCACGCTCCTCGTACATATCTACCGGCAGGCGCCACCTTCCTGTCAGACTCGCTCTCTCCTGGGAACGTGCCTGACTCGCTCCCCAGCGGGTCTCCAATTGTGAAAGCTGCAAAGGTGCCTGCCATCCACGTGCTTCTCAGCCAAAACGGCTGTCGGCAAGTTTCATCGAAGAGACATTACTACAAGGGGGGCAGACCTAAGTCGCGAGCCAAGATTTGTGTCACTTCTTCGGCAAACTAATCGACTTTGAAGGCTATCCATCTTCCAGGAAGTCCGGGATGCGATATTGCCCCATCGGTAGAGCCGACAGCCTTGTCTAGACCACCGGTGGCGCTGCAATGCCATAACTGCAAGTGGGGTAGACTCCAGGTTGAGAGGCAGCAGTGCAACTTGCAAGCTCTTGTCGCCACTCGAAGGGGCAAGCTGCATTGGGTTGGGGAGGCGCGTGGTTGATGACAACACGCAGATCGGCCGGGCGTACTACGTTGGCTCGGTAGGGCTTTACAGGGACATGAGTAGAGTCAGCGCAAGGGGAAGAGGGGAGACCCCCCCGGCTGTCAAGCTGAATGATGCAGGAGCAGGGGTCCTAGAACGATCGTGACGGTCCGAGAGACACTCTCCACATGGCAAGCCCCGCCACTTGGATGAGACCTGGCAGCTCCGCACTGGGCTGCGGTCATGTGGGTTTCGGGCACCTTTGCGTATGCATCTAGCCTAATGTGGACGGCTCACGGGCGTCTCCTATGGGCTATGGTCTCCACATCTAACAGCACCAAGAGCTTGCCTGAGAAAGCCGTTTAGTTAGGGGATGCGCGCAGGTATAGGAGTGTGCAACATCCTCTCACCCGTGCCACAGTAAAGTTAGAGCTTTCGGCTACAGATGAGGTGAGCCATACCAATGGAGCTCATATTTTTCCTTTATCCGCAAGTGCCTACTCGAGTGGATCACTACTCTGCACCAAGCCGTCCTCATCCGGTGAATAATCCCGTTGATGACACTGCTCGCGCCGCTAACAAAAGATCTCGTAAAGTGGTAAAGTGGAAGAAGATGTGGAAGCAGGCTCGCTACGGCGGCAGCGGCGGCGAAAGCTCGGCGGTTTGGAGTCGGGCGGATTATCCATGAGACCGGCCCCGATTAGCCTTGCCACAGAGCCTTGCCACATAGCCATGCCACAGAGCCTTGCGGTGTCACCTATGGCATATTTCAACAACGTCGCAGTACCATGTCGGTCATTGGTTGTCGCGCAGGTGAGGCAGCTTTTATCTCTCGCTACCCCGCCCGTGCCAAATTCCCTTCGACCGCATCAACAACCCCCTTTCGCGAAGGTGAGACCGCGTCTATACACCTCGCGCGGGAGACTCTTGCAGTTGGAGCGCTCCCGATTTGCCTCGCCCAGTGTCATGTCTTTTGCGCTGAGAAACGCCGCCCCGCTTAAGGCCGACATCCGTCTGGCACAAGCTGTTTCATCGTTTGAGGCAGACCTCTCCGCCGAGCAGAAAGTGACCCTCCGTAACTACCAAATCCAATCGCGCGGATCCCCTCCAGATATTCGCGATGTTATGCGACTCACCGCCGAGATTGATCGCTATAACTCAGTAAAACTCGGCGGTGGACGGTGCTTTGGCCCTCGCTTGACTAATATTCTGCAATCAGTCCAACAATTCGCAGCGCTGGGGGATATCATAGTAGGCGCTTCTCAGAACATCATCGCATGCAGCATCTGGTCGTTAGTGCGAATGTCATTACTCGTCCGTCTTCCCGACTTAATGGCTTTACTTACATCTGACCGACTTCTAGTGGATTGTCAAATTCTCCTCCAGCCTCGAAAAGATATCTCTTCTTCTTATGGTCGTCGGTCGCTCAGCTCCCCGTTACGAAAACATGGCCTTACTCTATCCCCGATCTAGGGATCTGCAATCACACCTATCTGAATATTTC